ATACCTCCGTTGAGGGCGATACATCCGGGACTGGTGTCAGGTCATGTAGACATCTGTGATTTTCTGGGGAGGTTGTAGCAGGCGTTACCTGCAAGTCTTTGCATCTGAGGTGTCCTGAGCTTCAGAAGGAGCCTCCAGCTGAAGTGTGCGGTGGATCTGAGCTATATGGCTGCTTTTGTAGGGAGGGCCATGTTAGATTACTTCCTGTGGTTGGAAGCACATCACAAAAAAGGTCCTTCTTGACTAGTGCCCTGCAGTTTTGCAGAACATAATTAAATGTCTCTGATTGCTGAGCGAGTGATGCTCAGGAGTGCTGCAGGAGGGGGAGCCCAGTGCAGCCTGTAGTTTGTTACACCCTATAGGGCTTTTGTCCTGTTACGATGGCAGAACGGGATCAGACCTCGTAGAGGAACGTGTCAGGCTGATACTGTGTTGGGGGAAGTGTTTTCAGGTAATTTGCAGGCCACCAGTGGGATATTCGTAGTCCAAAATGCTCTACAACCACTATTCAAGCAGTTCAGGAGCTGGGATCCAGTTTTGGGGACCTGACCCCAGCATGGGGCTGGGAAATGTTGTAGTTGGAGAACAATAAGAAAATCTAATGTTAAGTTCAGGAAAACTGCCATAACAAATGAACTGAGACTGGAACTCCGTTTTCCGACTTTCTCACATTTTCCAAAACACTGTCTTGATCGAAGCTACAGGGAAGGTGTTAGAGGATGTACAGGACTAAAGCATCATTGGGCTTCATCCGTTGCGCTAAGGAATGCAAGACCACAAAAGATTTTCTGTGTTCATGTAATTAAAGCAAGGTCAATTTGTTATGGTTCTCAACTAGTTTTGTAAAATGCTCAGACAGAATATGCTAAATTGTTTGCAAAGTTTGTTTAGTTTCTTAACTGATAACTACTAAGGGGTGGGGAGGGAAATGGGCAAGCTGGTTTGAGGCTTTGTTGCAGTAAGATGGTTATTCAAGAGGCAATTTTATATTGGGGAAAATAATATTTAAAAAAAAAAAACAGAAGGTATTTGTATACTGTTGACTTTGTTTCCATTCCTTTATACATCTTCATCTTAGATTATGCATCCCTCACTAGTATTGTAGTAGGAAAAAACAAAACTGAAGAATTTCCTGACTTACGAATAAGGACCATGTGTTCCGCCAGGAGTGATGTGTTCCCAAGTATGGTGCTCTGGCGTTTGCAAACTGCATCAGATGTATTTGTCTTTATGAAGACATATTTGCCTTCAAAGACTTGAGTGCTCACCTTCACTGTATAGTCGTAGCTCGCTCTTAGCTGTTTTCATCAACTGTGAAATAGCCAGTGTTGGTGTTTCAGTTGTCTTCATGTTTCAGCTATGAATGGAGGCCAACTGCACCTGCCAAATATTTCAGATTGGTGGCCTGTTTATGCAAGATTAGTTTCCAGTACTTGATTTGCATTAGGTTATTATTTTCTATGCTGCATATTTGAATGTGCTTTTAAAAGTTGGTTGGAGGTGTCTTAACTTCCCTATACCCCAGACATATAGTTTGAATTAATACTGTTAGAAAGTGCATGGGAGAGCCTCTACCCTTTCATGACTCAGTTATACTTGCAGCTTTAGAAGATTTGGATCACTTAACTGCTTTTATGGTGTATTTGAATCTCTAATGACATTTGTCAACATCAACCTGTAATAGTACAGAAGTTACACCAGTTTCCCCGATCATTTAAAATTGTCATGTTGAACTGTGTATTCATCACATGCTTTGGGACCTAATGGACACCATCTTTCCACCAAGTTAGTTTGGGGACACCCTGTTTCTCCCATCCTCTATAAAGCATAGGGCATGGCTAAAGCCTTTGGTTGCCTGAGACTTAAAAAAATCCCAGGTTCTGCAATCACCTCATTCCTCATGATGCTTTTGATCTCTCCAGTTTCTTACTTCTAGCACATTATTTTTGAAGTTTTGGGGCTTTTGCTTCAGGTTTTAAACTGGATGCAGGCTGTTGGAAAGCAAAATGCAACACTCCTTTGGTATAGCAAAGTTTATCTGGAATTTATTAAAGTAACTTCATCAATAAATGGTAGCCTTGGGGTTTGCAGGTTGTATAGCCTACCATAATGCAGTTTTACACTCATATTGACAAAATGATCTCTTCCTCAGTAAATACAAACATGTAAACATTCAGTGAACATCACTTACTCGTAAGAAACTGGATCGCTCTTAAGTTAGTGCTATTCTTCAGTGCAGTCAGGGGTTAAAAAAGCAGAACACATTTTAAAGAAATAAGCTTTCAATGTATTGTTTTCATTGGAAATGTTCAATTGCTACTTTTGAAATCTTAATATGTATTTTTCAGATGTCCTGAATTTGTTTCTTTGTCCTGTGAGGAACTTGAGAGAAATGAATACAGACAAATTATTTCATAAAACATGCGAAATGGCTGGGGATTGACAGTTAAATCTGTAATAGTGAATACATTCAATTTTCCCCTTTGTTCTGCGAGCAGTCACTTGTACTCTAAATGTCTATTTAATTTTTTAAGTAGATTAACAGGAAATGTTTGCATTATTTGATTATTGAATTGACTTTTCCAAGTAATAGATCTTTTCCTCAAATATTTATGCGATATTGAAAATATTTTTCCATAAGGGAAAAATGCTAAAAATGAATGGGGAACATATTTTGAGTTATTTGTAGTATATGCGCATAATGCCTCATCTGAAATCACTATACACTTGCCTTTCATTGGGGAAAAAAAAGCAGTTTGTCATCTGTACTGCCTTCCAAAATTAGATTCAGATAATCCTACCTTTTTGAGTAAATAAGCAGCAGATTGGTCTTAAAAATGAAATTCAAGTAAGCTCTTGATATGTGATATAAAAAATAAATAAGCTAATATGTGAGCAACATAGAGCATTTCAGTGATAGATGATAATATAGATTACCTTTGTTGTTTACGTAATTAGGCTGGGCAGGGAAACGAGAGGGAGAAAGAAGCATTAATAAATGCTTTTGTTTAGTCCTGTGTGGTTGGGTTTTTTTTATTTTGGATTTTTTCTGCGCTTCGTGTGTGCATGTGGTTTGCAGTGCACGGATGAGGAATTGTATAGGAAATTTGCAGCTGCTCTAGTTATTCAGTAAGATTTGTATAAGCTGGCACAAGGGACAAAATTAGAGGGAACTTGAACGAGTGCCGTGCAGTTTATTAGCTAGGCAGCCATAATTTTGACCTTGCTGTGGGTTAAAGGACACAGACCTGAGAAGAAATCTGTTTATCATGTAGGGAATTCATGCCATCCCTGACAGTGTACAGTGAACAAGATGGATGATCTGCCAAATTGGTCCCTCGCATGGGTGAATCAGGGCAAATTTACAGTACAATTCCTTTGCTGCTCCTGATACAAAAATAACATTTGCTGGGTTTTGTATTCAGTTGTATGATGACCTAGGGTGAACAGAGAAAAGAAATAAGATTTTTAAGATCCCTATTACCTTAAAGATTTATATGCGCCTTGCTTTCCTTTTATGTCTGCCTCTTCTGCATCTCTCAAAGCACGAAGGAAAAAGTCCAATTGCTTGGTTTGAGAGACCAACTTTATGTAAGTGTGTCAGGGAACCTCTCTTCAATGCAGCATCGTGAAAGCTGCCATTACCTTGAACAAGACAATCACACTGTGCACCCTGCTTCGTTTGAACCCTACTTTTACTTATGTAGTATTTTCCTTTAGTATTTAGGATATGTTTCCATGCTAGCTACGCAAGCTGCGTGTTCTGTAATGATTTGACAATATTCTGGATAATAAACAAGCAAACTTGAAGAATAGTGAAATTTGCTATTGGCCATCACCGTGGTAGCGACAGGACATGATGCTGCAGACCGAACTGCTCTCGTAGTAGTGTTGCAGTGCTCAGGAAAACACAATTCTGTTAGAGGGACTAGATTTTTGATGTCGACTAGCCTCATCCTTCTACAATTGAGAGCATTGTAAGCTTCCTCCAGAGATCTCGAGACAAATCCGCTGATGTATGAATCTGAGATACATGCGGTTAACCATGTCAAATAATGAGATGTGAGACAGCAAGGAGGAGGAAGCAGTCCCACAAAAATGGGGAAGAACTGTGAATGGAAAAATGGCCTGTGCTCTTTATCTTTTGAAGGGAATTGTTCTAAACCACATTGTCTACGTGTTGTTGCTTTAAAAAATGTTTAGACTGAACCCTTGATGTCTGGATTTTCTGCATAAGCTCAGTTGGTACGTTCCGTCAGAGATAAATGTGAATTTATTAGGGGAAAACAACATTTTGTACAGAACCTATTGTTGTTGGCAAATTAACAGATTCAGAAAGCTTTCTTTTAAACAAAGTGTCACAATAACAGATTTGAGTGTCTTCTGTTCCACTAGCTAACTTTATGTTGGATTCTCAAAGACGTTAATTAATACAACATAATTACAAACTGTATTTTAATCTTGTTAAGTTCTTTCTGGGCAAAGAGAAGTGCAAAAATGTGATACGAGTGATAAACAAAATGAAATCGATAACACTCTCAAGATAAAAAGTTGTATCAGTTGTAGAAAATCCCTTATGACACTACAAAATAGTGGCTGAGTGAGTGAGTTACAAGTCACAGAAGGAGACTTAAACCAGTCTATAATGGTAGATTTAAGAGCATCCTTATACAAAAATGGTATGGAAAGCAAAACTATGAGATTTCCTGACCAAGGAAATTTCTTGCAAACTTACAGACTATTGCACTTCATTTTTTCCTGATTTTTATTTGTACATCTTGTCTTTATAAGAAAGCAGAGATGACTCAAGATAAAATTAGAAAATAATTCTGTTTTTTAAAAGAGGCTTTTTAGTAACCAAGTCATAACAAGTAGCATTTTGCATACTTAGGCATTTCTTTAAGTAGGTAGAATATAAATGAGAAGGAAAGTTAAATATCCTGCAATCAAAACATTACAATTTTGCTAAAGTGGCGATTTTTTTCTTTTTTTAATTGCAGAAAGCACTCCAAAGACTTCTGCCAGTTGCAGTCCTGCTCCTGAATCTCCCATGAGTTCCAGTGAATCAGTGAAAAGCCTGACTGAATTGGTACAGCAACCCTGTCCCACTATAGAGACAAGTAAAGACGGCAAATCCCAAGAACCTAGCGAGCCGCCTGCTTCTGAATCCCAGTCTACAACACCTTTGCCACTGTCGGGCCACTCGGCACTCAGCATCCAAGAACTGGTTGCTATGTCCCCGGAGCTGGATACATATGGCATTACGAAGAGGGTCAAAGAAGTGCTAACAGACAACAATCTTGGTAAATCGCTTTATTCTCATTTCTTGACCAAAATAAAACGAAGGTGTTCATGCTTTTATTTTTAAACTATATTTCAGTAGATGTTTACAAGAATACTTGGTTTTGACTCTGGTCTAAGCTTTAATCTGTTAAAAAGTTTTTTTTTTTTTTTAAACTAGTAGAAAAATCCTTTCAGATTGTCACACTCTACTTAAAATGTCATCATACTCTTGCTCTTAAGCTCTGCTCCTGGCTCACCAGCCAGATACTGCTCCCACCTCCCTAAATACAGTCCAGCAGGCTGTCAAGAAGACCAAAACCCCAAAGCCAGTGTGATCTCCCCTTGAGAAACGTTGTTTTCCCCATGCTTGTAGATTCAAGCCCCCAGCATTTTAGGCATAGGTGAAGTACAGTCCAGCATGATTGGAGAGGGAGGTGCATCACAAGCAAAAGTCATAGCATACCTGTAGAGCTGGGAGGGTAAATTCAGACTCAGCTGAGGTTTAGATGAACCTGTAGATAAGCGTGTGGGGCCATTAAGTTATTTTGCTTAGAGATGTGCAAAGCTAAGGCTGCTCTTGCTTACAGATGAGGTTTTGAATTAAGTTTAATGTTGACATGGCTATATATTTGGAATAGTCAAAGGGAATGACCTGATCTGAGTATGGGAAATCCATGCTTAATACTGCGACTGTGCCTCTAAATCACTAGTTCTTCATATGTGTTTAACACTTGCTTCCCTCACAAGGCATTGGGAAACCTTTAGGAGTCCTTTGAAGTCTCTAGCGGGAAGGCAGTAAGGCTGCCCCAGTGTTACCTGCCCATGCTTCTGGGGCTTAGCAGGGGATTCATCTCGCCTGCATTTAGATGTTCAAAATAGATGTCTGAGATGGTTGGGATGAATCACTCCCCAGAAGTACCAGTTTCTCTCCGTTCACTACAGATGGGACCAAAAACATAAGTGTAGCTTTAGACTACTGATGATACTTATATGAGAAGAATTCCATCCATATCATCTGAACACTGTGACTGTAATAAGTCAAAAACTTATTAACAATTAAACAAAAACTCCTTTATTTTAGTATGTAAGGAAGCCTTTTTTCAGCTAGGCAGAGAATAACATGTTATTACCTTAGATTTTTTTTATTTTTTTTTAAAGGGGAAAAATACTGGGGATGGGGGAGGTTGCAAGTTCTCATTTAACATAATTTGGGAAAAAAAGAAAATGGCCCTGATCATGGACATACCCTGCATGAGATTGTGTTCCACTGAACCGAGCAGAATTACTTGCTCATGCACATTGGCATGGGCAGATTGTGATTGCTTGTTCAGTGGAGATACTGTAGAGATAAAACCACAAGTCACGGTAAGGGTTTGCAGGTTCAAGCCCCTAGTTTTTGGGCAAAATGCTGTTGAGTGCTGTACCTGCTCTGGTGTTCCAGAGAGGTTTGAAAAAGTATTTTTGTTTACATTTGCTTTGATGCCATTTTTACTTAGTCTTTTTTATTTCCCATGATTTTTGTTTTCCTACAGTGTGGCTGACAAGCCTAAAAAGCAGCAGAAGAGCCAGGAAATGTGCCCCAAACTCTGCATTAGGTGTGGAACCAGTTTCAATGTCTCCTTTTGCGCCCTCAGTGTGCTAGTGCACCAGATTGACTCGGTGCACAGGTTTCTCTGTCTTAGGCCACAGGGCCTTGTGAACCTGTCTTAGGCAACTGGTGGTGGCTCAGTTGTTCGAATATCATCGGCCAGTAAAGACCACGGTTGTGCAAAACCATTCAAGATGTGTTTGGCGGGTCTCTCCTCCCGTGCCTTTTAGCATCTGTTCAACACTCACCATTTTAACGAACGATGCTGGCAGCGTTAACACTGGGATGTTGCTGGTATTCCTAGTCCCAAATGTCATGCTATTATCAGTGATTCCCTGTTGGGCAACATAGAGAGGGAGGCAAATTCAGTGAGCTATTGAAGGATGGCAATGGTGGGGATTTTGCAGAAAGGGCCAGGACTAACTATGAAACCAGCATGATTTACAGAAAGTTTTGTCCATGAGGAGCTACATCAGTGGCAACAGGCATGAAGGATATTAGGGTAAAAGATGGAGAGAATTAGCAGGAGTTTTAGGAAACCTGTGCTTAAAAGTATTCCAGTTATTAATAGCACTCTGATGAAGATGGAGTGCGATACACCTGCTACCTCCTGAGAATGATTTCTAACACATTCCCCATTAGCCTGGGAGTCTTTCAGGTGTTTTATCCTGTCCTGCAGTATCCTGGGATAAAACAAATGACACAAACATCTTTAGCTTTGTTCTTAACACCTAGAGAACATGTTGTTACCTCCTTCCACATTTGCATTTTTAATTTTTAGGCTGTAGTTTGAAGTTCCTTTCGTTTAGCAGCATTGCTAGTACCTGATCTGGGCTGCTTTTTCCCAACCCTTTTGCAAATTTGTGCCAGTATTCCTGTTCATGTGCCCACACAGTAGACTGGACCAGTTGGTCTGAGTCAAAAGAGGCCGTTTTATGCTTGGTAGGTTAGTTTGACTCGGATCAGTTTCCTGCTCCAGTTTACTGCGCAGCCACGCGGGCAGTCACAGTGGCCGCACTGGCACTGCACAGCGGCTGTCGGAGCTCTCTCAGCCTCTGGGAGAAATGCTCATCGCGTTGCAGCCTGGGCACAGCCTGGGGTTAGAAACTATGCGGAACGTTAAAGGAAAGTTATTTATGAAGGCAAATTAAAAGATTTTTAAAGTAGCTGTCTTATCTTGCTAGTAGCTGGCAGGTTTAAAGGTAAATGGATGAGGCCTTACTGATGTTTTTAAATACAAACAGGGAGTAGGTTAACTCTGCAATACGCGTGATCTAAAATTGGCCCTGAATTACGTCTTTTGTCTAATTTTCCTGATATTGAGGGTAGTGGAAAATGACTTATTACTTAGGAACTTAAGTGAATTCTGAATTTAGGTTTCTGTTCAGTCTGTAAGAACCATTTCCAGGGTTAGTTTTAGAGCTTATTAGCAGACTGTGTCATGTTAGCCCTGTCCTCATTTCCCCTTTCTGCCTTTCATTATCTCAGCTGCTTCCTCCAAAAGCTATGCAGACCCACCTGCCCCATGCATCTGAATGGGACGTTCTGCAGCTTCTAACTGGTCCCACATTCCTTCCTCTACCCATACAGGCAAAAAAAAAAAAAAATCACCAGGGCAAAAGTCTTGGGATGTTTTTAAAGAGGAGGAGGAGATTCATGGAGTTAAGCACAGGGGATGGGTCTGTAGAGCAGATACTTTCCACGACCTGTTTCTGTCAGGGTCAGGTGAGGCTATGAAGGCAAGAGTTGATGGTCCTTTTGCAAGCACGGGCATGTCCTGCAGAGCTGTAGGAGCACAAGCCCCCACGCATCTGCGTTGTCTCTCAGGGATCTGTTTGTTGCCACTGGCTAAGAATGCTGGCATTGCTAGGAAGTGAAGGAAAAGCGTTCTGCTTTGTGTTAGTGAGGGCATTCAGAAGCTACAGATCAGACACAAGACCCTGAGGCCTAAACTTGGTCGGCATGGAAAGATCTTTGGGTTACCTTGAAAATACATGATAGCTGCGCTTCTATCAGAAATCACCGGCAATGAGTCAGATGACTTCAGGCTCTGTCTTGTAACAAAAGCTGTTCCATATCAAGGCAGTTTAGCTTAGGAAGAACACTGAAGTGAAGGAAGGGCTTTAGAAAACCAGCTGTATCACTGGGTTTGAGCTGCACGGGCATTTTCCGCAGTCATTGATAAGTTAGATTTTAACCATATGAAAATAGTATTACCAATGTACATACAAATGCTGTGCATTGAAAAGGATATGCAGTTTTCACCCTGCTAGATGACAGCATTTTAAAAGAGAACTAAAATTATGCGTTCTTAACTAGAAGTACTGTAGAGGCTGTAAAAAAAGCTGTTATATTGTAAAATGTGATTATCTGTGGTTGGTAAGACACAGTTAGAACACCACAGATAGTACAACACAGCAAATATGTACATACATGTGTCTTTGCGGACACTTACATGACTGTTGCTGAATGGGTGGGTTGCACTGGTCTTGGTTCATTGATTGCTTGAAATGTTTGGATTGCCCTGTTGGAACAAAGCTGTTGCACTACCCTCCTGCATAAGAGCTAAGTAGCCTCACTGTTCTCACTAGTTGCCTGCTTAGCTAAAAGTTCTGTTTATTTTTAATCACATTGATTTTATTTTTTGCACACTATTTCACTGTAAGATCCTGGTCCCCAAACATGTTGAGCTCCCCTCTTTGCCACAGTCAGATCCTAAGGATTAAACGAAAGCTCAATATTTACACTTTTAGTGGGGGGCAAAGCTTTTATTCTTCTAAGTGTTTCCTTTGGGTTTTCAAGCAATTCTGAAGTAAGAATAATTGACGAATGATTTCGTAGACGTGTTCTGTCTTTTTAGTTATCCTTGTCTCTTAGCTGAATGAATTCATGCGATTTTCAATTTCGTATTAGGTCAGCGTTTGTTTGGGGAGACAATCCTAGGGCTAACACAAGGCTCTGTCTCAGACCTTCTGGCTCGCCCGAAGCCCTGGCACAAGCTGAGTTTGAAGGGACGGGAACCCTTTGTCCGCATGCAGCTGTGGCTGAACGATCCCAACAACGTGGAGAAGCTGATGGATATGAAACGAATGGAGAAAAAAGGTAACTTGGAGCAGACTGCTGACTCATGTTTTCTGTTATTTCAAAGATGACCGTGTCTTTTATAATTCTCCATAAATAGTATAGAGGCACCATTGATCCAGTATTATGAAGGTTATGCACAAGGACTTCATGACAGCTTTTTTCGATGCTAGCTCAAGCAGATACATCTCAAAAAAAACCGAAAAAACTAACCCCAAACCCTGAATATTCACCAGCTGTCATGAAATCATTGCTATATTCTCCTATAGATTAATTACTGAGGCCCTGGTGTATCGCTGATAACTTGCCTTACCAAATGAGAAATGTGAGTTTGGGAGCTGGCTTTGGGTTATTAGTTAATAGTGCTGCAGCTGGTCACAGATGTTGGGCTCAAAGAACTGCGCATTGATTCCTGAGAGAGCTTCTTGCCAGTCCTGCACTGGTGGTCACTAGCAGGAAAGAAAAATGCAGTCTTTATAAAAGGGCGTTTGAGAATAATTAAATTTGTAGCCTTTATAGGGATGGGGAAAGGTGATTGTGTTAATACATGCTCGCATAAAACGGCGAGGTCATGAGTATGTACCAGTGAGAGTTCTAAGTTTTTATTGGGTATCTTAGTAGGGAGTATATCATGAAAATTTATCCTACTCTCTATATTTTAAAGTCATTACTAAAAACCAGTGGTTATTCAGAGCCCTGTTTTTAGTGCGTTCGTGTGATTTTACAAGAGAGACTCATAGGCTGCCATTATCAGCAGTTAACTAATTAATGATATATACATCTCTTGAGCTATCCCTTAACGATATTAGTACAGACAGCATTAATCGTGTGCACTGAAAGCGCTGCTGTTGACTGATGTCCTGAAAGCATTAACACATTTGATCAAGAACTTTATGATTATATTAAAAATTGCAGTGAGGGAGCTTCTGGGAAAATTGTAGTCTTGCATGCTTTTAAGAAGAAATTCAAATCCTTGTCATAGTAACCAGTATAATATAATGCAGTGCAGTATCTTGTCACAAATTGTGTATAATCTTCCGTGGGGAGTAAAATCCACTTGGGTTTCCCACTTACAACTGTAAACCAAAGGGAGCCATGATGGTTTTTGCTGTATTGGAAACATGGCAGAAATAAAATTGTCAACTATCTGGATTTTTATAGCCTCAAAGAGAATATCGCCCATAATGCAGGAAAATAAAATAAAAATAATTTAAAAGTAGTACTGACAATATCCTTTCAAAACTATTTTCTAAACTGGATTCTTATCAAACACTGTGCAATACATATGCTCTATAGATGGCACCTGAATAGAGATAAGGCTATAAATCATTGAGACTCTGTGCTGAGCTCCTGAACTGTGTAAGTGCTGTCCTCATAGCAGAGCACTCTAAAGTGAATTCAACCCTGTATTTTCTGCAAAATCCTTTCATGCAGGTAAGGATCCTATGATTTAACCTTTTAAATTGCTCTAGAGCCACATTAAGAATTTAACTTTCCCTTCAGCTAATGTCAGTTAAAGAACAATGCAGCTGTCTCTGCTACCAGTGAAACATTATTATCAATTATTTCTCTGCCACATTTTATTAAGGGAGTAAATTAATAATTATGATAAAGGTGAGCTGCATATATCTCTTTTTCTGTTCTGCCAGTCTGAAGTTTGTGCTATAAATGTCCATTTTAAGAGGTTCTGAAAATTTGCAATGTACGTTAACTAACCTCTTTGGAGGAAGACGGCGGTTCACGCTCACTAGGCTGAGACACTCTGCACCACCTTTCCTGCCTTGGAAGAGTTCATTCCTCTTTCTTATAACCTCCCAGTGTGCGCGCTGCTCGTAGCGTCACACTCCTCACTGAACACTGCTGAAGCCTGCTGTCAGGAGAAAAGTTAATTCCCTTTATTTCCCCATTATTTCGCTTTTTAATAATCTTGTTCAATACCGCATAAGATAAAAATTATATGAAAAGGGGCTCTGTTTTACCTCAGTGGGCAGCCACTAGTCCTGCAATAGTGTCTGCTGCATCTGTAGCTGAGCATGTGCTGGAGAGTCTTCCCAGAGGGACACGGTGATGCTGGGTTTGCAACAGCAAGGGAAAAAAAAAGGTAGTAAAACTCAGGGGATACAGCTGGCCTTGACAAGTTGGTCTCAGACCCAGATCCAGACCTTTGCCCAAATTACATTTGGGGTTGGTTTTTTTTCATAGGTCTCCTGAGAAGTGGAGACCAATCACAGACAAAAAGCAAACTTCTCCAAAAATCAAGTGTGTTTGCGACTTGGATTCCAGTTTGAGCCTTGCTGTCACTGCAGATGTGCTGAATGATCTCCTTATGTTGTCTACACGCAGCACATATGTTTAAAATAAGATTTAAAAAGGAAAAGCATTTATAAACATCATCTAAAGTTTCCAGAGACCACCATTAAAGCCTAAAGCTTAGGTGCTAGTTCAGCACGTGGTGAAATGCCAGGATTGTGCCTTTGGCCCCATGGAAATTTGTTCTGATAATATATTATCCTCTGCAAAGCAATTGCTTATGACAGAACAGTGGGACATCCTTCTCTTTATGTTTATGTTAAGGAAATACATGCACTTATAGAATTTGTTCCATTCAAATGAGAGAGACCCAAATAAGCCATTGCACCTTTTGTGATCCCAGTGTGAGGTTACAAAAGCAGAGGTAGGCATTAAGGCATGAAATTTTTCCCAAGCTGTCACAGCTCTGTGCTGTCCTTAGGAGTCTAAAGATGGGAGCTCTGACCTGCCAGAAATTACATCCTTTGGAGAGTAGAGAAAGCAGATTCAGAGCATCCTGATACATGGGTGTCTCGTGTTAACTCAGTTGCCTAACCAAATTCCAGAAACTCCAGTTAGAGATAGCCTAAACACCTTTTACATCTTCCGTGCGAGGTTCTATTTTGTCTCGTGGCCTCGTTTAAGCTGCTGCATGTTGCTGAAGTGATAGATGCTGTCTTTCAGCCCTCTTGGTTGTGCTGTCAAAGGAGACAAGGGAACCTTGTATATAGTTTGGATGTCAGTGCAAGTTTGAAGTAACACCTGGGAGTCTTTGAGATTAAAGACCTTATATAAATGTGAGATTATATTGCTGGAATGATTAATTCCATGGTTGAAGGTTGTAACAGTTCCTTGAAGGCTGCAAAAATAAGGCCAATAGGTCACCTTGAAATAATGCATTTACCTGTGGTCACTTTGCAGTTCTACATCCTGTTGGAACAACTTGAATAGGTGATTTTTTTACTGGAGTTTATTTTTTTAAAAAAAACAACTTTGCTTTTTATGGTTATTTCAAACACGTGCAAGACTGTATCATGGCAGAGTGATTGATCATGAGCAACTCACGTTCTGTTCCATATGAGTGATCTTACACAGTAGGCAATCCACCAGTAATCTGTCATATTCAGGAAAAACAAAATGAGGGCCACGCAGATACCCCCAAAGGTTACAGAGTGTGTTCAAAATTCGCTTAGATGATAGTAAGACACGGTGTAAAAAGGTCCCACTGGATGTACCACCATGTAGAGGACAGGATGCTGAAACCCAGTGGAGACAGAAAACCTAGCCAGTCCTGTAGGGAGCTCTGCCAGAAGAAGTTGGCTTGTGTGAGAAGGGCTTTGAACATTTCAGTTTATTTGATTGCATTGAGTTTTTATTCTTTGTGCACCCTCAGCCTAAAGGCAGAGCTGTGGGGAGAGAGAAATTTCTTTTTTGAAGACTTTGGTTGCTGACCAGTGGGACGTGCCCCACATGGGTCCCTGGCTCCGATCGGAGCTCCTGGCTGTTGGAGGTTTAGTGCCTGCTACGTTGATGTCAGGCTGGTGTAATCTGGAACTTAATAGCCAAGGTTATCAAATTGCAGTTCTTGAATACCTAAACTCTTAAATATCTAGAAGGTATTTAACAGGCCATTAAATATTTTATTGACAAGATTCATCTATATTTGCTGTTTTCAGCCCCCTCATTAGCAATCCTTGTGCATGATACTGCCAGGTGCAGTAAATCCCACCTCTCTCTGCCCGGTGTAGATCAATCAAGTCAGTGACAGCGTTTGCTGGGACTCTTTCCTTGCAGAATTTGCCAGGATAATTCAGTCCCTGTCGGGGAGGAGGGTCAGCCGTGGTATTGCGTGCTTCTGCCGTCAGCCTCACTGAGCTCCGTCAGTGCAGCAAGAGCTTTCTTAAAAGTATATGCATTTTTGAAAGAGCCTTGCATAGGGGAGGAGGATGCTGTGGGCTGTTTTTCTTTCATAACCTGTCACCACTATAACGAAGATCTGTAGGAAAAAGCAGCAAATGCCTGACAGGTTATTCAGCCCATCGCTGGGATCTCCGGGCTCCGGGCGCCATCGTGTGTTGGAGACGTGGCTGTGGCTGCCTTCAGCTTCCATTGTCATATTTTTAAATTCAGAGACCTTAGGTGTTAGAGACACCTTAGTCTACACCTTAAGTGTTTAACAACCAAAGCTATTTAAGTTGAAATGAAGTATAACTGTCCTAATCAGGTGCCTATGTGGAAGTTCACCACTCTTGGAAGAGTGAATTTGAAATAAGTCACGTTAACTGAACCCTGTTACTCATGTCCCGTGTTCACTGAAAGAGCAGAAAACTCTGGCAGGTCTCCAGTTGATTTACCCTCTTTTCTTCCCCCTCTTTCTTCTTTTTCTGCCTCTTGCATCCTCCCCACATTTGCTTTCCTCTGATCTCCGATGATGCCCCTTCCTTTCTGTTGTCTCTGAATAGCCCATCCATGCATCTACAACCTGTCATCTTCACATTTATTCCACAGCTCGTATATTCATTTATTTTGCATTTGTATTCAGCTGGGGATGATCCGATGCACTTCTCTTTCAGCCTACATGAAACGGCGACACAGCTCTGTTAGCGACAGTCAGTCTTGTGAGTCCTCATCCGCTGGAATAGACTACAGCCAGGGAGCCAGCCCGCAGCCGCAGCATCAGCTGAAGAAGCCCCGGGTGGTGCTGGCACCGGAAGAGAAAGAAGCTCTGAAACGAGCCTACCAGCAAAAGCCATACCCATCACCAAAAACCATTGAGGAACTCGCTACGCAGCTCAACTTGAAGACCAGCACCGTGATCAACTGGTTCCACAATTACAGGTATGAGATCTCCTGGGAGCCCTACTCATAAAGGATTTATTTTATTTGTATTGGCAGGGCACTACTCTGCTTCAGCAGACTGTGTCTGCTTCCGCTAGGGTTGAGCGGTTGTACAAAATGAAGAGTTTCGACAGCAGGGAGGTTCTAACTAACAGTAATGCTAATGCTCCAGACTAATTTTAAGTCATCCCTGAGGAATAGCAATATTCACATATTGATGTAAGTAGTACTTTTAAACAGAAAGTCTCGCTTTGGGGATGGGTGTGGATTTAGACATGTCCACTATTGAATATTTATAACTCCCATTGCAGTAAGCAAGACTGGTCTTTCTTACTTGCATATGCACACTCACACAGACATAGACTCGCAAGTATATATGCACAAATAGGTGTGTGTTGTGGGTCTTATGCCTAGGTCACTTGGGGGGGGTGCCTGGAAGTGTCCTCTATTGGATGGCATCAGAATTGCACTGCTTTCATCATATAATTTTCCCACATAAAGACAAAAAGAGGATTTTCTTTTAGGTCTTGAGCCACTGAGCTCTGAAAATAGGCACAGCGTGTGCTCTATTTCTGGGAAGCTCTGCACAGTCACGAAGGATAGAGAACCGATAACCCTGAAGTCAGTTGTGGCCACAGATTTATTTCATTGTTATGATTAAATCATTGAATCCCACTGAAATGAAATAAGATGTTGGTCAGTTCAGTTCCTTTCTCATATTAGAAGGAACCTTCTCCACATTTAAACCATTGAAGTAGGTTTTGGCCTAGAGACACAAATAAAAAGAAACAATGCTGGAATGGCATATAAGAATTACAAGGATTTGAATAAACTTATTATCAACTGTGCTTGGGATTGGGAATCTTAATTAGTGCAGCAGACTTTTCTCCAAGAAATTTGTGCTAATGAATATTGAACAGGTACAGTTAAGATACCAGATTTAGTACTATTCTGCTCCTTCACTCAGAGCCAGTAATGTTCCTAATTAGTCCAGATTGCTAAACTTGTTTGCTTTTAGAAACTGCTTACATTTAAAGGGTATTTTCCACTTTGGCCGTTCTCAGCTTTTAATGGGGAAGTTGCTGAAGCAGAAGCAGCACAGTTTAATGAGATATCTCATAAATATTATGCACAATAGTTAAATAATGTTTATAGTAAACAATATAAAATTTAAAAATTATAACCAACAAGTAATCATATTTACACTGAATTTCATTGACTTGAATTTGCTACAGATGCAGCCTCTTTCACTGCTCAGAGTTCTCCAAATGCAGGCCTCTCTTCCAATTCCCACTTCTAGGCAATTATACACAAGTTGGAGGAATGCCTATGAAAATATGTTCCCTTCGGCCTGACAGCAAAATGTGCTGTTCTCACTTATGCAGACAAGTGCAGGAGCACTGGTGGCATGTGTCATCTTCCTCATTATCATGAGATCTCCTGTTTAGGCGTGCTGCGAGAAAGCATGACAAGTCATGATTGATCAGCGTGTTTAGCCACACCAACCTATACATTAATGTAGACTAGGTGCTGACAGTTGTGTACAAAATAAAAACTGTATAAACAAGGTGCTATAGGCTGGTGGGTAGCACAAGCCTCACAGCACTGAGTGATCTGGACCTGCTCCCAGATGTGCTGCTGAGTCTCCAGGACTTTAAAGAGATGCTTCAAGCCTGTTTGGAGCCCTGGGTGCTCTGAGCAGTTGCCACCACTGAAAAATCAAAACACATGCCTGTTCTTTTCCTCTGTACGATAATTTTCTTAGCTTTCATGCATGAAGTGCTCTTAAATCATTTGCAGGACAATGCAGAAGAGGTACAAGTTACATGCTCTGCTCAGGGAACAGGGTCTGTCTGTTCTGCAGCTCATGTATTAAAAGGAATGGGTAGCCTTTCCCCTCTTCATCTTCTCCAGGCCACACTTAACTTTATTTATCTGTTTTATACTCTACCTCAGCCATTTCTCTTCCAAACTGAAGAGTCTTCATACAGAAGCAGTTCCACATCTCAGACCATCTAGTTATTCTTTAATACACATTTTTCTTTAAAGTAACTTCAGGTAAGGCAGGTTACAGATTTGGACAAGTTTCTCTTCCTGTCTCTTGGGAATCCTGTTGCAGTGATGCTTTTCCTTTGGGATTCAGCCCAAACCTCACTTTGCAAAGGTGGTTGCTACAGCAGAATCTACCTTTATATCCACCAGATAGGAAGTCAGCACTAGCATTTATTCTCTGCAAGCAAAAGAAACTTAAAAAAAATCCTCAGCAGGCAAAGAAATAATTCACTTCAGAATATAAATGGGTGTAAAGGATTTTGACATGTCTGCAAAATTCTCCAAGTCTATGGCTTTGCATAGGCAATAGCCCTCAGAACATAGCCAATCGCATAGCTCTCAGAACATAAAAATAAATAGACCTCACTTTGCATTAGTGGAGCACATAGAGGACACATTGGAGTTTGAGGCTCTATTGTCTTAAGAATGGTACAGAAGAGTAGGAGGTAGGGATTTCTATCCCATTTCACGTGTGGAAACTGGCACATAAATTCGGTAAGGTCAAGAGATGATACTACAGAAGCATCAGGAATTAAACCAGACTTTCTTGAATTGTAATCTAGCGCTCTTGGATCCTAAATTTCATTGCTCTTACTCTAGGCATATTTTTCAATCAACTGTAGCTTTGTGCTTGTTTAGATGTTGTGTGAAGGCTTGTACAGGGAACTTCAACATATACCGCAGGAGATCTCTGATATTTTGAGTTACACTGATGAATGCCAAGAGGATGTGTTGATGTTGAGGCCAACACCTTCCACCGAGAGGAATGCTCTCTGGAATTTCCTAGCTGCTGTCACCAGTTCTTCTTTACAGTAGGGATTTAATTACTATGTTAATCAGGAGCCAGACTTGATTCCAGAAGCAATATATTGGGTGTGAATTCCGGGGATTTCCACAGACATTGAACCTGTGTTCTGTAGGGCTGTGGTCAGATACTCAGTGAGCATGTCATCATCCAGTGTCTTGCTGGAGCTGAGGTATTTTAAATGCTATGCAGACACAAAGCTCTTACCTGTTTCCTCTCCTGACTTGGGGAATGTTACAGAAGCAGGGTGTTCTGGATCAATGGACATGCAGGGAGATTATAGGCATAAATAGAGCCTGATAATCAATGTTGCAGGATGCATGCAATTAATGGTAATAGAACATTGATGTTAGCACCTGTGGTCTTCTGTTGGGTGAATAATATTCTCCTAGGGAAAATTACAGACCTCCTAAACCCTTCAAAAGTGTAGAGTCAGCAAGTACTGCTGAAATACTCTGTTGCATTTCAAGTAAGTCAATAATATCATTAGCTTCAAAAGCAGGATTCAGATGGTGTTCTTCATTTATCCTAAATATTTTCCATTGTGTGCTGTCTTCCATAGCATGTTTAGGGAAAAATGAAAAATTCGTACAGCCATCAGTGTTGGGACAGCATTTCACTTGTGATTTGCAAGACCCTTAGCAGTTCTCCCTGGCTAAAAACCAAAAGTGTTATCTTCACTCTGAAAGATAAATTTTTGCTAAACTCTCCCTGTGCCTGTAGTCTCATGCCTGACCACAGGTCATTGAGTCTCCCTCTTGGTTGCAAATTAGGACCTGAACAGTGGTCATAACCTCTCCTACTGACAGAGCAGTACTGAGAAAGAGTTAGCCTAGACCCTAAGATTTTTTCATAAACTGTTCTGTACTTGGGAGGATATTGGGAGCTCCTAAACAGAGAAGGAAGAGGGAGGAAGGACCAAGTTAATCGGCAAAGGTAATGTGTTTGGGGTATTATTGCACACTTCTCAAGTAATAGGAGGCGCAAGGTGGCACACCAGGCAGTTTTAACCACACACGGAGTGCATTCATTCCCTTGAAATGCACTGCTTGCCTTGTCACTATTCATGTTCTGAAATCGATTTTTTAAATAAAAAATGAGGCAGAAGTCAGACTAGCTCATGCACTGACAACTTGTCAAAAGCCTGTGCTTCCCCAGAGTGGTTTCAGAACAATGGACTTTGTTTCATCTTCGTTTCCCCTTGGGTGTCCAGGAGACCACCAAGGGGGTTGTCCAGATTTTTTCCTTGTTTTGTTTTTAGTTTAGGCAAATTGTGGTTCATTTCTAGTAGAAATCTGAATTGGTTTGTGTTTACAAGCCGTTTTCTTCTGGACCTTTTAGAAATGTATTCATATCTTTAAAATCATCCCTTTTCTGGTCCAGTGTATTACAAAGATTTGCCTTTCTGATGTCAGACTTCTAGTGGGAATGGGAGACTGCAGAGCCTTTCATCTCTGTCCCTTAAACCACATCCAGTGCTATAAAAATTGAGCATACAGTTATGAATGCTACTTAATTTGAACTTGCGAAAAAAGGGAGGGTGATCTGCCATTGGTTTTCACCAGTCCTTTTAGTACAAATTGATTACCTGCACAAAGTTTATATTTTTGCTTTATTCCATAATGCCTGCTGTGGTTACTAGAAGGGGCAGTCATCAACATCAGATTTACAATAAATACACAAAATCCTAGTTGAAGTCAGGTGGGTCGGTCTCAACACTAAGCACTGCAGAAGTTACCAGAAATGGCTTATCTGCTCAAAACCCCAGCCGCGACTGCCTGCCCTCCCAGCAGACTGTGGAGCAGCCCCTGGGGCAGCCTGGGGTTTGCAGCTTGTGTCCTTCTAGCACAGCGGGCTTTGCGGTGGCCGTGTGGCTGGGGAAGATGAGATTAAGAGCACCTTGACAGTCTTTCATGTTCTTCCAAATGCCTTTTCAGTCAGTCCTTTGGGTCCGGGGGTGCGAGTGCTTCCGCTGACCCGGCTTGGTGCGGCTGTCCTGTAGCCGAGACAAAATGGCGCCTCGTGAGAGGGCATTTTGAACGGCGTGTCTGGTGGAGCAGGGTGGCTCCGAGCGACCCCTGGCAGACTCACCATCCCTCTCCCCTGTCTCCTAGGTCTCGCATCCGCCGGGAGCTGTTCATCGAGGAGATCCAAGCCGGGAGCCAGAGCCAGGCTGGGTCGAGCGACTCTCCTTCCGCCAGAAGCAGCAGGGCCGCTCACAGCTCCGAGGGAGACAGCTGCGATGGCGTGGACGCAGAAGGCCCACCTGAAGGAAAGCCGAGTGGCCCGGAGGCGGATGAGTACAGCAATGCAACCACAAAGTCTCAGGGAGGGCCAGCGGAGTCGGCTTTCGAAGCGGGGGAAGAGGCACTGCAAGGCGCCAGGTCTTCGGAGAAAGCGGAGCCGTTCCAGGCGGAGAGCCTGGAGGACACCGACGACGAGGGCAGGCTCAGAGCACCGCGCCAGAGCTCTCCGCCGGCATCGCAGCGCCCGGGAGAAGCTCTGGAGACACTGCCAAACTCTGCCACGGAAGGGGATGCCTCTACCTCAGCTGCCTCCACCTCAGTCCTTACAGGGGAGAGCTCCTACAAGTCAAAAGAAAGTTCAGAGAAAATCTCCAGTGTGCCAAGTACGAGCTCGACGCCGGCCACAGGCTCGCAGAAAGCCAACTCTCTTCAGAGCTTGTTCGGCTTCTCGGAGGCGGCGAGCTCCAGGAACACGCGAGACAGCTCCTTGAGGAAAAAGAAAGCGGCAAACTTGAACAACATCATCCACCGCTTGGAGAAGGCCGCGAGTCGAGAAGAGGCCGTCGAGTGGGAGTTTTGAGATTAAACTCGCCCAACTCTGGAGAGCTGGGAAGTGAAACTGGACCTCTACTGGTTTTATTGTGTTGCGCACTTAACCGCCCTGCGGGCCACAGGGCAAAAACGCCATAGGCCAAGGTGCATATAGAAAACAAAAAGGAGCGTTAAGCCCAATTTATGTTTGTGTTTTCGAGGAAGAAAACTGAAATGTGTAGTCAAGCTTTTTTGTACCCTGAAGTGTTTTTATTATTGCCCTAAGTGATTTCCACAGTTTCTGGAATAACTCATACAGCTTTGCCTTGTGCCCTCCTCTTTGGTGTGGGCTTTAAAAAAAGAAAAACAGAAAAAAAAGAAAAAAAAAATCAAACCCACATATTAAAAGGGGGCTTTTTATCTGCCATCTAATGGCTACAGAGCGATAATACACTATTATCTTCTTAAACCAGGAAAAAAGGGGAGATTTTTCAAAAAAAAAAAGAAAAAAAAAAGAAAGTTTTTTGTAGCTGTTCAGTTGCCACTAAGAGATTGCACAGTCAACCGACTCTAAACACACTAGTTTGGATTCCTACATATTTTCAAGAAAAGAAAAGAATCTTGTTGTTTGAAACTTTGAATTAAAAAAAAAAAACACATTTACTCCACATATTTTTTAACAAAACAAAAAAAAGTCACATCAGGAAAATATCTTAATTTGTGGTAGCTGACTTAGTGTTTTCTTGTAAGTGAAATAGAATATTGACACGTAGTGCACATTGTTTCATAGCTTTAACTGATTCTGGTCTTTTGCAGACCAGAATTTGTTTAATACACTCCATTTTAGGCCAAATCAGGACAAAAAAAAAATCTGAATCTAGGTATTTTATAATCTGCTTTTTAACCTCTAACCACAGAGCACGCTGATCAGACCTCATATCTAGGAGGTTTAGGAGACAACTTAGAAACAGCATGTACTTGATCATTTCACTTGGTTCGTAGTGTACAGAATTTCCTTTCAGTAAAGACAGATCGCTCAAAAAATGTTGGCCAGTAACATTTCAGCCTGCTACTTTGGGGGCGTATTCCGTAACCCGAAATTTTCAGCTTACCTGGAATCGATTAAAATGTAATTCACGTGTACGATTGCTGTCACACACCACTAAGAGGGGACTGGAGCTGCCTCAGATAGAGACCTTTTCCTGCTGTTGGTGGCCATTTACTGACTCTCTTCCCACCACAAGCACTGATTTTAAATACGTTTTAGTTGTGGGAAGCTTGTTTTTGCGTGGATAAAAAGTACATGGCAATGACCAGACGGGCTCTTACCGGGACAGAAATAGCCCAAACTCCAAACCAAAACATTTGTGCTCTCAAGTCCCAGTCTAGACCATTCTGCCCTGCAGAAATACAGCCTTTTTCCATTATTTTATGCACAGGTTAGGGCTGATCAAAGTACAAATCAAATTCTAACTTGTCTCTAACTCCTCCTGTTGTCTATATGTATATGCGTGAGCATAGAGGTGTGTGGAAGGATGTGTGTGCGTGAGTGTGTGCGTGCAATTTTATACGTCTGTGTATTTTCTTACGTACTTGTGCACACATAGAGTGCATTACTGCCACCTTTTTTCAATAAGCTGTTTTATCAGTTATGGCTTCTACAAGTTTGCTAATTTAGACTCCTTTATTGCCATATCTTTAAAACTAACAATAGATGATTTCGGAATATATATATATATATAAATATATATATATATAATTTTTTTTTGCTTATTTATAGGTGCTGTATTTTATTATCTGATTGTTAGGAAGGGATGAAAGGGGGCAAATATTCTTTAGAGGGATAGACTGCCGGCAGTATTGGGTATAATTTACAAGATGTAGTTGTCATACTGTATATTATTGATTGAAGACTTTTTGACCGTATTGTGTATCATTGAACTTTTGTCTTAGGTCAGCATCTTTTTGATGACACTTTAATGGTGCATTCATTACTTCTTAAGTTTAATTAATATTACTTTTCTGATTTTGGGGGAGGGAGGGATGGGGAGAGGAGTTCCGACTTTAAAGGTATGTTCCCAATATTACACCTCAGTGTGCTTGTATTAATTCATTAGTAGGATTTTTGACTGTAAGATGTGAAACCACATTTCTTGCATGATGTTTTAGAACTTATGTATTTCATTTACAGTCTCTTAACATGCAACAGCAGCACTTAGCACAAGTTTTCACAAATTAAGAATCAGTACACTAAAATCAATCCTTTTCATGATTAAGAAAAGAAGGCTCTAGGAGGCTGAAAGGCAGGGATTTATTTCCTATTTTTACTGCTAGCTGTTTCAGGATACCTCCTTGGGTAATTGGGGACTTGTGATGCAAAACTAAAATTGAGAAACAGAGAGAGCAACTGCCCCTTTCAGTCATGAGCTGAGGAGACAATTTGTAATAACAGACACCAGTATGTGACAGCACGTGCTGGAAGCGGTTACGGCTTCTTATCTGGAGTGCAGTTAGTCCGAGGGAACGGCCAGCGAGGGAAATAATGTGGTGAAGCAAGGTGTTAACCTCTCTGTATCTGTACAATGTCCTGGTTTGACTTACAAAGCACAGCTCCATCGATAAATGCACGTCCTGGTAAAAATACACATACCTTAATAGAAGTCATAACAAGATGTGTCTTCAGCAAAGAAGCAAAACTTCTGTCTAGAAGATGCAGATATTTTCTTTTGTTCCTTATTTTTTTTTCTTTGTTGTTGTTTGGTTCAGGTTGGTTTTTTTTTTTTTTATTAGTTCTAGGCAATACACTTGCCAGTCTGTTTCTACTGTCCTTGTCTGCTGATTTGAGATCCAGGTGCTTGATGCAGTCAAGTGGTTACTCTCGGCTTTCTCGATAGCGTGGTTTTTTTCTGTTTGACAACTTTTTTTTTAAATTAATATTCCCCAAACTGTTCTTGTGCCTGTGTCTATATGATTGCATTCCATGATGCTTACTGAGAGCTCTTGCTGCATTATACAACAGCAGAACTGTATTCACAGGTTGAACGCAAATGCAGCACTTAAGGTCAATCTCTCTTCTTAATAAGCAATACGAAAGTGCCTTGAAACTTGTATCTTTTTTTTCTCTGTTTATTTTTGGCTTGGTTTTCAGGTTTCCACTAGTTCTTTAGGATTCTTTAGCATCTGCCCAGTTTTTAATGCTGTAATGATTTTTTAAAAGCATATCTGTAGCTTGCCCTAGAGGATATCTTTCTTTTATAACACTAACTGTTAATTCTAAGCTCCATTATTACATTTGAATCATGTAATTTTGCTGGATAAAGACAGCATTCATAAGTCAGAAGTCACTCCATCCTGCCAAGGGTTGTCATTGGTGTCTATTATAAAATTAATCAAATAAAATGCTGTCAGTATTTCCTATATTTTTGGCACTTTATTAATGGCTTAGCTCCTTTTGTTGTTTCATATTTAATGGTCTGTGTTGAATGTGGATTAGCCTGCTGAGATGCTACTGGGGTGACCCAGGCCGTCCTGCTGGGAGTCGCTTTGGGTTCCTTAGTGACCACCTTATTTAAGGGCACGGGCAGACGAACACCCTCAGATCAAGCCTGTAGAGTTTAAGTGATGTTCCCAGCTGTTTGTTCCCGGTTTTTAGCCAAGGTCACAGCTGCTTTTCTGTTTCAGTGGAAAGTAAAATGGATTAGCTTGAACTACTGCTGAGATTCTCTTGTTGGAGATGAGTTACCTACTGGCTTTCCAAACTGGCAGAGACCTCCCTGGTTTAGAGACTGAACTTCAGCAACACTGAAAGATTGTAGCTGTATTTCTGATCAAGTGTGGCATTTGGAAGTCAAGCTTTTAGGAAAATGTGTATTGGAATAACTTTTTTTTACTTAATTAAAAGAAAAGGATAAAAAGTTGGAGGAGAAGAAATGCCAAAGAGTAGCAGGGTGGCTTTTTACCCTCTTGGGTCACTGATCACACGGGAAGGGAAAAGGCGTTATTCAGGCACGTGTGATGTGGGGCTCATCTCAACGGGGCAGTCGTTTTGTAGAGCGCAGAGCGTGGCAACAGAGCCCTCGCTGACGATGTTTCTTTCCCTGATGGATAAAGAGCACAGGCAGTTTTCAGAAAATCTGTAATGCCAGACTGTATTTTCTTGAGGTTCTTTAAAAGCATTTTTATTTTCTCTTTCTGTTTCTAGTTCCATGCTTTTACTAAAGCTGTGGATGAAGAGCCCAGGCTATTTTAACAGAAATACCTTTATTCTGCAGTTAAAATTGTTGATTCTTCTCTCTGGATGGTTAGGGAAGGAAAAAAGTGTAGTACTTTGTTTGCTAAAAGCAGGGGAAGAGTATCCCTTGGCAGAGGGGTCATACAATGGGATTGTCGATATGCTTCCATTTTTGAGGGTACAGATTTCAGACAACAGAATTGCACATGTTTATTGGCAGAAATGCATTTAATTACAATTGCTGTTGACGCCATAAAATCTGACTGGTTTATTTATTCTTCTGTAAAATGCCTATAAATAGAGCCACTCTTTAAAGGAACCTGTATCAGTGCACTCTGCCCATATCATGAATTAGTGAGTCCTTTAGTAATAAACTCCTTGCTGTAATAGGAAAGATCTGTCTTACGGTTAAAAAGAGAAAAAAATGTATGTGCCTTTCTCCTTAGGTGAAAGATCTTTGCATTATTTTTATGTAACTTGTTCATATGGGAATGGTGTAGAGAAGGGGGTTCATGGACACGACAGAATTCTATGCAATATTTTATGATCCAATTACTTAAAAGTTGCTGTGTTTCAATCCTTTAATGGGAGAAATACTTAGAGAAGTGCATCATTCTGGTGGTAATTCAAACTACAAAGCTGATAAATTCACATAAAATAGGATTGAGGGAAATCTGATCAAGTAATGTAATGAAATAATGGAAAATGCTAACAGTGATTGCAGTCCCCACTAGCACAGCTGCTGTCAGAAGTCTGTCATTTTCCATCTTAAAATTATTAATTCCAAGTATTCTTAAAACTTACATGAAATAAAAATGCTCCTGGCAAAAACAGGGCAAGTTAGAAACAGGAGAAAAAAAAAAGTTGACCATATATAAATTATGAGACTACATGAAAAAAGTAATTGGTTTTGGACACTTCTTTGCACTTAAGTCCAAAATAGCTTA